ATAGGTTAGTTCGTTAAGGATAAATAGTTTCTGAGTTTTGCCTAAGTACTTCGAAGATGAAATATTACGGTCGGCGTGGTTTGTGCTAGCGTACAGTATATTTAGTAAAATCGCAGCCAGGAAAGTAGTTGTTTTCTGTTGAATATACGGAGAAAGAATTGATAATTCCATCACATACCGAATGCGAATTCTCTATGTATTTCTTTATATCTAAATAAACAGGTGCGGAAAAGTATGACTTTCGGCATTTGTTAGGTAAACTACATTTTCGTCTAAACTCGACAATGCGAAGATCAACTATTGTTTTATTGATTGTTCTATCTCAGATTCACAGAGGCTGTTCAAAAAACTGCTCAGGAACTGGTGATGGGTTCAGTTCTGACGAGTGGATATGATCAATATCATGGAAAATTAGTCTTCAAGTTCTGAATGGTTGGAGATGACATTTCGAGAATTACACAGATTAATATTAGCTTTGAGTATTCACACTCAGTTTTCATTCGTAGGTTACCCGATTTCATCTTCGAATTTTGTCCGCCCTATATCCTATTTTTATCTGGTGGCGCCTATGGTCCAAGGTCACCTGATATAGATCAGAATCAGAATCAGATAGACAAGAACGTTTATTTAATAGCTTCCATAGTGAGTTTTACAAGAACGTTTATTCAATGGCTTCCATATGTATGTATGTATGTATAAGCATTTTTTCTTCAATCCCTATCTACAGCACCGCACTAATTATCGTTAATAAAGAATTCTCGAAACTAAATTCCGTAGCTGAACTTCGATTTCAATCAAGTTTCGTATCACCTTCTTCCTTTTTCTAGAAATATGGGTACAAAATACAGAATGAATGAATTTGGGTATGACATAGATTCATATAAAGAACATCCAATATCTTGTATCTATAATCAAACTTTGAAAACTCCAAAGTTTGTTGTAAAAAAAAATTGTAAAATTGTTATTCACCTATCAAATTAACCACGAGCAACCCTCAGAAGTCTTCCAAAGTCTTGTGCGAGCAAGGAATGACGGGGGCCTTACCTTTTAACGTGTGATCCCAAACACTTGTAACATGCCAAACACCTATTTCTCGAACCCTTTTCTCAACTGACTTCAAGGAATTGTAGTTTTCAAGAAAATACTTCAAATAAACACTTTCTTCTCCATATAGCAAAAAAGTTGGGTGACGTTCATATATTTCATATTGAAATGTGGGCATTCATCACTTCATATCATATGAACGATCTTATTCTCGAGTGTACAAGAGCAAGAGGAACATAAAAGCAGGTCGAACTGAAAGTATACGTGGAATCCCCACATGACGTGAGAGCAGGCAACACTGTGACCGGCGTTCGCTCTGCGCGTGGCTGGTAGGCCTCTCTGCAGTCTGTCATTTTACGGTTCTGCTGCATTACATTCTGATGAATTCCGATTCTGCCAATGTACGGTTTTGATTTTTTACGGTTCTGCTGACGTACAGTTCCTATATTTCACGATTCTGTCGATGTACGGTTCTGAATTTTTACGATTCTGTTATTTTACGGATCTGACATTTTACTATTCTGCTGAATTACGGTTCTGATAGTTTACGATTCTATCACAATACAGTATATGACATTACAGTCTGATGAAGTACATTCTGTCATTGTACGTTCTGATATAATATGATTCTGATGGAATACGGTCTGTTGTATTACGAGTCTGTCGATGTACGGTTTTAGCATTTTACGATTCTTTCAATTCACAGTTCTGATATTTTGAGATTCTGTGAATATGCTGTTCTGATTTTTTGCTATTCTGTCAATGTACGGTTCTGACATTTTACTATTCTGTCGATAAACGGTCTGTTGTATTTCGATTCTGACAAAGTACGGTCTGCTTATGTGCGGTCTGTCATTCTGCGATTCTGACGAATTACGGTCTGTGTTGTTATGATTCTGACGAAATATCATTCCGCTGTGATGTTGGTTTTTTAGTTTTCGATTCTGTATATTTGCGGATCTGCGATATTGCTATTGTAGAAAAAAAAAATCTGCGCATTTGCAATCTGTTATTGTCTGGTATGCTCATGTACAGTATACAAAATACGGTTTGAGGGATTGCGGTTCTGTGCATCTACAGTAGAGATAAATACGATTCCTATAAAATATTGTTCTGTTAAGTTACTGGTTTGAAAATGTATATTCTGATGGATTACGGGTCTGCGATTTTACATTCTGGTGATTTGTGTGTTCCCACTGAGCAGAACCCATTGTTATAAGGAACGATAAGCAAAACTATGAAGCAAGCTGGTGCTAATTACAAAACTACCGAGATGACGAGACACCAATTTGACAATACCACGGCACGAGAGAAAAACCAATCTAGGCAAGTATTATTTTCCCATTGGAAAAATGAAATGCCTACTTCACTGTTTCATCAAGCTTATGGCAGGAACTTGCGAATTATATATTATAGATTTACAGTCTTGGTTTAGTTGATATCTTTGATAGATATTCGCATTCAAACGAATTTGTTATTGTGAACAAAATCGGAATGAGGCCACCAATGAATACACACTTTGTTATTATTCAATTGTATTCACACTATAAGTTTCGGTATCTGATATACCAAAAAATTCGAAATATCTAACATATCATGAAGTCAAAATCTAGGAAAACAGAATAAGGTATATCTTTGAAGGCAGTCATTCCGATTGAATGGCATTCGCTCATGAAACAGAAGTATTTCAGCAAATCCAATTTGAAAAAAAAAATTGAAATGGTGAATGTTTTTGATATTTTGAAAATCAAGATTCGAAGTTCGGGAAAAAAACTAGTAGGGAAACAAGAAATTGAGAAATGGGTTGTCATGTTTATCTAAATAGTTTGAATCACCATCAGAAACAGTTCTGGTTATAATAATAATAATAATAATAATAATAATAAATGCTTTTATTGTCTCAATGAAACAAAAAGCAGAGTTTAACTCGCCGATGAATCGACAGCTGCTCTTCCACTCAACCCTTCAAGTTCAACGATAGGAAAAAATAATGACAGGTGAAAGCGATATCATCAAGAAAGACAAATTTCAAGAAGTAATCTGGAAGATTTCATCATGGGAAAATTGAAGAAAAAAAAACAATGAGTATCAGAATTATCGATGGGTAAATGGAAGAGTTGAACAGTTTATTGGATTAACTGAGTGATCTAAAAGCGGTCACCTTGATACGGACATCAAAAATCCAAGCTTGTTTCGAAATAATGAAGGAAATAGTCACGTGATACGTTAATCGGTTTTATTTTATTCAGTATAATGAGTCAAATCAGTATCACAATATGAAGTTTATTTATATATTTCAATCTAAGAATTTTACTGCCATATATGTTCTGATTGTTTTCATGTGATCGCACACACAGGCACTGATGGGTTACATCGTACAAAAAGTGGGAGCACAGTTCTGGCATCAACAACAGAAAGTGGCATGAATTGGCTGACGACATCCTGGAGGGCAAACGTTGAGGGTACCACTGCAACCAACAAGAAGGGCTATCGTGACCATACCTTGCCAGCAATAATGGGCCGTAGTTTTCAACAGCAACGAACGGAAGTGGTGAATACAGAGAGCCATGCGACGAGTGATGGAAAGATGACATCTCTACAGCCGCTGGATAGCATCCTCAGGGAAAAACAAACTCTGTCATCACAGGAAATCAGGGAAGACGTTCCCAGAATATGGTATTCAGCCAACCCAGATGTGAAGCATAACTCCGGACCGTCGATGCCATGCCAGGAAGTCTTTCCTATGTTAATTAACCATGCCAGGCTTATTAACAATAGCTGACTAGTCGTGTCAGTTAATTAACAGTAATGAAGCCAGATGCCAGAAGAGCCGAGATGAAACCCAGAGACTACAGTTGGAAGTGCATAAAGACAGTGAAGTGTGTGGATGAACTCACAAATTCAAGTTGTACAATATGGAGAGTTTTTAGTTGGGTTTTTTTATTGGAATTTTCAGAAACTTCTAGGAATTTTCAGGAATTATCAGGAATTTTCATGAAGGATCATTTATGTTAAGGATAGGAGTTTTTCATCAGATTTGTATAATGATAGGTAAGTATGTAGTGCTAGGAGTACCCATCTGACCATTTTTTAACGACGGGGGCCGTCATTTCCAGAGGAGGGGCATATCACGAAATGGGTAATTTCCCTTAATGTTATTCAAATCCATAGAAGGTTCGAAGACATTGAACGGTCACGCCTTTGTCTATCAATTCCAAAATCTTCGAATTGTGAACGAACTTTTTTCCATAGTAGTTGAACATTAACACAGGCGTGACATTGACTTCAACGAACCTGGACTATCGACCTGATTTCCTTACTGTCATATCTCCGAAAATTTAGACAACTATTCAAAAGACGTAAGGAAGCGAGTTCGACAGTTCAACAGTTCGACTACCGGTTCGACTGCGAGTTGGACTGCCAGTTCGAGTTCTAGTCCTGTTTTTGAGCACAAGTCCGGGAAGTTTGAGTTTCATCAATTGTGAGTTTGAAAAATTGCCACTGTGCCCGAACCTTCGGAGTTCGGGCAGAACACAAGATGCTCTTCCTCAGGCCCCAAGAAATATCAGTTAATTTGTAAATATAGGGTAATGTGTGTATATGTGTTGTTTGAAAACCCTTTTGAGTATTATTTATTATTATCACTTATGAAGTACATTTTCCAATGGATCTGGAACACAACTTAGGCAACCCTTGCCTACAGTTTGTGACAATATCTCGATCCATTATCTTCAACCAATGTATTTGGTGATGAAACAATTTGTTTTCGGAAACGATTTCTCCAGCAATAAATGTATTCAACTCGAACGAAATAATCATAGTATTGAAAACTCAAACGGTGTTCAATATCTGAATAACGTGATTTTCCACCTTGATATTGAGCTACCGACATACTTGAAATTGAACATTTTCAAGTGGTTATGTTGAAGATTTTATTTATCTGACGATAAAGGATTGATAACCTGATAGAGTGAGTCTATGTGGAATTCCATCGAGAATGAAGTATAGTTCGATTCATATCATTTCAATAGTAGTTGGCAAGTTATTCTCGAAAGTGATACAGTCAGAATGAACTGTAAAATTGTTGTTCTGGCTTGTTTTTTATTTGCCCTCTCTTCTATTCATCATGGGGCATGTTTTTCGATTGGAAATAATCTAGAGATTTGCCCTGACTACTCGAAAGCGTGAGTTACATATATTTTCAATATATTCACATCATTCAAAGAGGAATTCCATGAGTGCAATGAACAAGAATACCATATCTTCAACTTTTCGAGAATTTTGACGTTTCAAATGTACTGGACTATAGATAATGCACTATTCGTTGAAGCAGTTTTCATCAATATCATCGAAGAAATCTGGAACTTTTCTGCCAAATTCCATTTCTGTTATAATCTGAGTTGACCTAACTGAATCCATTTCAAATTCACCAAAATTGAGAAGAATTGTCGTCCTAATCATTTGCACATTTCCCAGACGTTTCGATGTACGATTTTGTAGTTATAATCATATATATAGTTCAGTTGATTATCTCATGAATTATTGAATTCAAAGAAAATTGTCAATAACATTTTTCTTGAGTTCTTTCAGCCGTATATTCGAAGAGTATGTTCAACCTAACAGATGTTACACTGGTCGGGGAAGCATTTTTTTTTTCATAAAAACAATGATACACCTGTATATTTCTCCCATTCTGAAATTTTCTTCGAATGGGGATATTCAATCTTTCCAAAATATTGTGAATCTGTTTGGTGTTGTCGTGCTATTGATTGTTCATTAATTTTTGTTACTATATAACGGAGTTGAGATGTATCAACTATAATTCATTCAACATTTGATATCCAGATGAGACTTCCTTCGTTGGCAATATCATAATTCTTGAATATTGTTCAGTGCAATTTGTCTAAACAGAAGAGGCTGAATTTCGCCGGGAATTTTTAATAGGATGTATCGATATTTTGAAATTGATTTTGAAATGAGGGATATCACTTTTTTCGAGAATGGTCTTATCAAATATTGCTCATGCCTATCAGGAAAGTATAGTTTGTGTCCTTTCATGTTATATAATGATCAAGTATACTGACCATAAAGGACTATATCGGATTATTTTTTATTCAAGTACTACTACCGTTATCATGAAAGTTTCTGGTGATTGATATCATCCTGAAAAATATATATTATATCAATTTCTAGGGTGAATTTGACGTACGATGTGCTCAGAACTGCCTCTCCAAATATCTTTGGTATTGCGACCCTGAATATTCGTGTGCCAGAGGATGACCTTCTGTCTGAACCAATCACATGTGTCCTGGTAAGTATTCAAAATATTTTTCCCTGTTCGATATGGTATATGAAGACTCACCAGGAAGGAGAGCAAATTGAAGAACCTAGGAAATATGCTCAGAGTTATAAAATGGAAATTGCATACATCACAAATACTGTTTCCAGAAGCAATGAAAATAATTTAGCTCACTGCAACCTCAGGAATTGAAAGTTCATTACAAACACCGGAGTGCAATAATTTTTTCCTGAATGAAACAATCTGATTTGTTTGATTAGAAATTGAATCCAGCTTGAGAATGATGATATGTTATCCCGAACATTTCAGTATTGAAATTTTGTGAACATGTAAAACATAAGGCATTTTTTTAACATTTCACTGGGTCATCAAACGGATCCAATGTAGATATCAGATTTGTCACCATGGACAATAATGATTCCACCAATATTCTCAAATCATTTGGTTCCGCAGTCAAATCGAATTCTTCAATTATGATACTAATTGTGAATAATTCAGAGAACTGTGGAATCTGTGAATTGATAATTTCAGATTCCATCACTAGGTATTAGAACAAGATAATTTCATCAATCATCATTCCAATATTTCAAACTATCATCAACAATTTATGGAATATGAATCCTTGGGAAGTATCGTTTCATATTGTGAATATCATGAAATCAGGTAGAATTGCTACTTCACAGTTCTGGATCAGAGCTCGAATTCGTTGGGAAATAATCAGCAGCAACCATTACGAAGACTAGGACATATTTATATTATGGGCTACCGACTAGTCAGTACAAGATCATAAGATGCCAGGTAGAGAAACCACAAGAATGATAATTATACAGAGTGTTCCTCCTGTCTTGCAAGTCCCGACTTTTGAGATACAGGGTGATGAAGTTTTGAGAAATATTCAGTGTTTTGATAATAACTGAGACAATGTTTCATATATTCGAATGAAATTTGGTACACGTATTTGATGTATCGGGGTGCATTTTCTGATATAAAAAAAAAACTATATTCTTTACCAGTGGCACCTTTACGAGAATAGTATTGTACAATAAACATCCTTCTGTTGATACTGGATGGAAGGATACGTTTGAGAGGAAAATGGAAAAACAAGACCAGACTGTCAAATTTGATATCTGAGTACTCCATTCAGGACATCCATTACTAGATAACCACATTATGTCACATTTTGAAATTTTCATAACGATTCAATCGCACACACACATCAATAAGCCTACGACAGAACGATCTGACCCTGGAACAATTCTACACATCAGTAAGAGAGCAGGCTATGAATTGCAAGTAAATCTCTAGGAACTGTTCATCAAAGGAATCATGACAGTACAAGTAAAGGATGACAGAATATAGCACGACTACCTTGGACATAGCCACAGTGCAAGTCTATCGAAAAGTCTGAGGAGCGGAATGAGGTCATCAGAGGCAACACTTCAACAGGAACAGTTTTGAATGAACAGTCCATAACGATATGGTTGAAAAAAGTGAAAAACAAAAAAGCAGAGGAGATGACTCAGGCAGAAGAATGATATCGTTATGTCACAAGGGTGGAAACTCTCATCAAATCAATCAGTGCCAAGCGCTTGGCAAGGTTTGAAGATATTTCAATTGGTGGAATCATTCTGCAAGCGTCTGTGAAAATGCAAGAGAAGTAGATTTATTCACTGAAAATCAGTATGAAGAAGATCATATGTTTTCTGGCTCAGTGAATTGGGTAACATCTAACCTTCAGAATTCTGTAGATGATGCATGATATGTGAAATTTCGAATCGATGATATTGAAGCCTGAATCAAGATTGAAACTGGTGATGTGGTGGATGGATCACCTATGATATATATTTTCAATTATTCAAACCTTCAACCTGAAAACCATAATATATAATCTAAGAACCCACACGAATTTCCGATGCCAATAACCATTCAGCTGACATACTTGACTTATTTCTCACTGATAATTCAGCATCCTACATCATAGATGTACGAGCTCTACTTTGTCATTTTGACAACACACTCATCTCCACAACATGCCCTTTTTTCATTCCATAAACTGCTCCGGCATATGGCATTACAATTCAGGAGATTGGGACGGTCTCCGCATGTTTTTCCTCGAGTTTCCTAGGCATAGAGTATGCTTTGACTCTGAGGACCCTTCACAGTGTGCTGCGGAAATATCCGAGATCATCATGCTCGGAATGGAGACATTCATACCTCATTCTTCGAAAAGATCATCACCATCGGAGACCTGGTTCAACATGAACTGTTCTAGAACTGTTGCCTTCAAAAAAACAGCCTACCATCGCTGGCGCAAAAACCTTAACCTCGCGACTAAAGCAGAATACGTTGATGCCAGAAATAACTGCAGCCAAATAATAGATGCTACAAAAGCAACATACAATGCCAAGATATGATCGAAACTCATAGATTGTCCCAATGGCTCCCGTTCGTGTTGGTCCCTTGCTGAAGCGGTCGGAAGGAATTGGACCCCGCACTTTTAGTACGTAAAATGGTTCTCGGTGAAATTTTCTGAATTTTCAGTATGTTGTAGGATTCGATGAACTGATTGAACCTGCAGAATCGTAAAGTTCTTTGATGAACAGATTCTGAGATACAGGGCGTTGAAGTTACAAATCGGTATTTTTCATTTAATTATTTTCTCGAAATTCAAAGATGCCAAGTACAATTTTCTTCGCTCATATCATTAACGAACCTCCATATTACTCAACATAATTCAGACGAGTCAGATGATGTAATTGTTTACAGAGTGAAACATATAAACATTTCAGTGATGTCTGAAAATTCGATGTAATAATGAAATATCGAAAAAATAATTTAGGCATGCAATATACTATTCTCATTCCATCATGAATCACAATTCATACATTTCATACAGGGTGATTTGAAAAATTGGTGACACCTAAGACCGATTTATTCATACACATCCTATATATTCGAGTGAATTGTTAACCTCTCAAGATAGCTGATACCGTATGGACATGATTTCGTTGAGATAAATAGGGTGATCATGAAGATTTTCGATGATGAAAATGACAAAAAATCGTGTTTTTTTAAATCACCCTGTTATTCATGATTAACTTGGTGAAATTCCCTGATTATTTTTCGATATATTCATCATTCGCTTCCCAACGCTGTCTTGAAAATTCAGTTTCCTATCATGACGGGTGTCACAGTTATTAATTCAGGAACTTACCATTTGCATGAAGAGTTGAAGAGACTTGTTCACTCACATTCGCATAGTGGCCGATATTTTCCACAAATAGTGAAACGTGAGAATGTGGAGACGAAAATAAATTTCGTATTCATATACAGGGTGAACATTAGGAATTCAATAACAATAGCAGATATATGAATTTAATAATATTAATATAATGTACAGATAGTAGTTAGGCGAATTTCGTTGGTATACAAGCTCTACCAAAATGAAAAACGAACAATACCTAGGAGATGGGAGAATGAGTCGGTCTTTCACGCTTCCATTTCTAATAGGGAGAGTTGAATCCTGGAATCGACAGATTTTTCCACATTTGTTTTTCACTCAGAATCAGGCGTTTCCATCATTCTCATATTTGCTTGCTATCAGTAATTATCCATCGTTATTATCGATTCCAGGATTCAACTTTCCCTATCAGAAGAGGAAGCGTGAAAAACCGAATCATTCTCCTATCTCCTAGGTATTGTTCGTTTCCCATTTTGGCAGAGCTTGTATACCAACGAAATTCGCCAAACTATCTGTACATTATATTATTATTATTGAATTCAAATATATGCTATTGTTATCGGATTTATAATGTTCACCCTGTATATGAATACTAAACTCATTTTCCACAATCTCACGTTTCACTATTTTTGAAAAATATCGGCCACTATGCGAATGTAAGTGAACAAGTCTCTTCAACTCTTCATGCAAATGGTAAGTTCCTGAATTAATAACTATGACACCCGTCATGATAGAAAACTGAATTTCCAAGGCAGCGTTGGGGAGCAAATGATGAATATATAAAGAAAATAATTAGGGAATTTCACCGAGTTAATAATGAATAACAGGGTGATTTCAAAAAACACGATTTTTTTTTGTCATTTTCGTCATCGAAGATCTTCATGATCACCCTATATATCTCAACGAAATCATGTTCATACGGTATCAGCTATCTTGGGAGGTTAACAATTCACTCAAATATACAGGATGTGTATAAATAAATCGGTCTTAGGTGTCACTAATTTTTCAAATCACCCTGTATGAAATGTATGAATTGTGATTCATGATGGAATGAGAATAGTATATCACATGTCTAAATTATTTTTTCGATATTTCATTATCACATCGAATTTTCAGACATCACTGAAATGTTTATAATAATATGTTTCACTCTGTAAACAATCACATCATCTGAACCATCTGAATTATGTTGAGTAATATGGAGGTTCGTTAATGATATGAGCGAAGAAAATTGAACTGGGCATCTTTGAATTTCGAGAAAATAATTAAATGGAAAATACCGATTTGTAACTTCAACGTCCTGTATCTCAGAATCTGTTCATCAAAGAACTTTACGATTCTGCAGGTTCAATCAGTTAATCGAATTCTACAACATACTGAAAATTCAGAAGATTTCATCGAGAACCACTTAACGTACTAAAAGTGCGGGGTCCCTTCACTAAAAGTTCATTTCCACCACTGTTCAAATCCGACGGCACATTAGCAACAACATCGCACGAGAAAGCGAATATTTTTGCAGAGATGTTCGCAGCAAACTCTACTTCAAATTCCCAAGGAGAAGTGCCGCCAGACATTCCACCCGTTGAGAGTCGAATGCCCGGAATCGTCCTCCGCCAACCCACTATCAGACGAATTATGCTTGGTCTCAAAACGAATAAGGCTAACGGTCCTGATGGAATTCCACCCATTATCCTTAAGAAATGTGCACCAGAATTAACACCGATTCTCTGCAAATTGTTTACCGTCTCTTACAGGTCGGCTATTTTTCCAT